ATTCAATGGGAAAATAGAAAAAGAAGAATGTTTATAGTTACGATAAAGTAAAGCCAACCCATATGGAATGTAGTGTCCTGAATCACTGGAGGTCAGGATTTTGAAAGCATATGCTTAATAGTATAAAATTCGCAAGTGTGAGGGTTGGACATAGGTTGGATTATGTTTAATGTGGTCTCCAGCAAAATCAGTAGAGCAAAAATGGAACAAAAGTGTTTTCTTTAATGAAATTTGGTTTAAGGGGACAGTATACATTGTAAATCAACATTATTTAGGAAAGTTATAGTTGATAAAATGGGTATTTTGTTGCCCATTTAAACTTGATCGAAAATACGGAAGAATGGAAAACAGGAAAAGTGTCTAAAAAGAAATGACCATTAGGGAATTCAGTGGCTGCCTTAAAGCTCCATCAGATAATCACTTGAGGAATGGGAAGAGTCAGGAGAATAAATGGTCATATAGGTATAAATTTTTGGAATCTGAAGAGAGAGCTTGGTCAGCAATCCTTAGAAAGTCAGTACTTCTGATATCCAAGGATGCAGGTGAGTATCCAAGGAAGAAGCTCATACATACTCACGTTGTAAATCCATTTCAGTGATAGACAGTGAACAGTGATTGGGCAGTACCGATAGAGCAGGAGTGATTTTCTTACGGCAAAAGGCAGAAATGAGTGGATATGCCTTGTTTAAGTTGCATTCTGGAGAGATGATGTCAGTTAAGTAAAATCAACAGTAAAGATGAGGGATATTGATGATGCTGGGGTGAAAAAGGAACATTAAACAGGATAGGAAGATGGCTTGAAAAAGGAATGATAGAAGTCTTGGTGAGTTTCAGCAAAGGGAGACTGGGTATAAGAGAATGAGGTGTATAAGGAGGTCTCAGACTGGGAATCCTGGTAGATCCTATAATGGGGCAAATTGTAGGAATATTGATTTTAAGGCCAGATTAAAGCAAATTCTGGTGATAAAGGCACAAATTAAAATGGTGGCAGAATAGTAATGTTCTATCAATCCACTTTTTGAGTACTTGAGTGAAAACTGAGCTTAAATGCTTGGCTTGAAAGAATGCAAAGTCTCATCAAGGATCCCAGTGAGTGAGTGGAGGTGAGTCAAAGTAAAATACTCTGAGATAAATCTTATTAAACTGAAGTTGTAGATTTAGTACAGAATGCCAAGAGTTGATATGGTTAATACTGAACAAAAAAATAATGGATGGGAGATACAGATTCAGAGAAGAGTTCTGAGTCCATCAGACTGCTTAAGATGGCACTTTAAGGAAGTGTAGGCAGGAAGTTGAGAGCTGAATTATTTATGAAAGAATTGTAAGTGGTTATATGGCGGGCAATATTCCTAATGAAAATCAGAGAAAAGAAACTCCCATACATGTACTGTTAAAGTATTTCTTGGTATGGATGTTTTCTAGTGAAGACTGTTTTAAAATAAGTTATTTACATTTGTTGACATGGTTCTAGATGATGAGAAATATGATGCAATAAGCTTGATAGTCTAATAATAAAATATAGGGATTAGGATGGTTCTGAATAGATACTGGAATCAAAAAGTAAATAGGGGCATTAAAGAGTTCCCCCAAAGGGGGGAACAACTGGTAGAATGTTTTATACATAATATATATTGTTGCTGGTGCAATAAATATTCAGAGGAAAGAATGAGAATGGATACTAAGGAGGAATGTTGCCTTGAAGGATTTTCTCAAATTTTGGGGGTAAAGGAGAAATTACTGGAAGATGAAAGATAAGGAGGACTAATTAAATTGAGACTTATGAGATTTGAGAGTATATGTCTTTTGAAGTGTGGAAGACTTGATTTTAAAGAGGATAAAGAGAGAAGGTTGCGAGTTCCAGAATTAAATAATATCTTCTATTTATTATTTACTATGTGTCTGGCACCATGGTAAAGACATTATTTATTTCATCTCATTTCACCTTTATAACAATCTTAAGAGATCAAATAACTCGTCAAAGATCACCCAGTTAATATGTAGCAGGGGCAGAATTAAAATCCCCGTCTGTAAATAAAACCTATATTCCTTTATATTATGTTATACTGTTTTCAAGTTGAAGGAAATCACAACCAGGAATTTCTATTTTTTTCCCTGTGATTATAAGGAAAAATATTTTTCTGAGATGATACCAATAGACATGATACATAGATCTGTAAAATGTGGACTATCTGCTATGGGAAAATGCAAAAAGGAAAGAATGGGTAAAGGACTCTTATTACCATCTATGTCCTGGTATTTCACTGTTTTCATTATATAGCAAAGGGTTTGGACTGGCCATGGATTAAAAATTTGAGAGTTTCTTACAAAAACTAAATAGAAAGGAGTTTGTTTTTAAGCAAGTATGTGATGAGTCAGATATAAATTGACTACTAACAAAATTTTAAATGTCCAAGTGTTGACAAGAGTTTATAACTACATTCTAGCTCTGATAGGAAACCCTCCAAGTTTAACATAAAACAAAGAATTCTCTAAATATCAAATTTTTATAAACAAAAATGAAACAAACCATCAAGCAAAAGAGTCCGTAGCCAGCAGACCAAAGGTTGAAATCCCTGGGCTAGTTTGTAAGATCTATGTTTTAAAAAGAAATGAACTCCTTAGTGAAGAGGGTTGAGAAAAACCTTTCCTCCCCTTCTTCCTCTCTTGGTGGAAATGTTTTCTGTTGTTGTTTTTTTCCTATACTGTATGTAATTTCAATATTGATATTTGTGTATTTTGGTGTTGTAAAATTATACTTATTGGAGTCTGTTAAGACCATTCCCTGGAATGTGAGGCACCTGAGTTATCAGTTATCAAAAATGAACCTGGGGAAGTGGGAGGAGCTAGTATTCTCAACTGAGAAGAGCTTGATTATTCCAAGGATTCAGCATTTCATTTTCCTCTGAAATTAAGTGATAAAGTAATGGTATTCTGCATATCTTAAAAAGTAAAGTTGGTGAGAAGTACAACAGGGGGAACAATTTTGAAAGAAGGCGAGATGGCTACCAGAAAAAACTGATGAAGTGTAGAGTCTCCCAGGACAATGGCAGAAGCTACAGGGCTACATAAAGACTGGGCCCAGATACTAGTTTAGAATAAGAGCATATAAAACTAGCTTTACTGGCCGGGCACGGTGGCTCATGCCTGTAATCCTAGCTCTCTGGGAGGCCGAGGCGGGCGGATTGTTTGAGCTCAGGAGTTCGAGACCAGCCTGAGCAAGAGCGAGACCCCGTCTCTACTAAAATTAGAAAGAAATTAATTGGACAACAAAAAATATATAGAAAAAATTAGCCGGGCATGGTGGCGCATGCCTGTAGTCCCAGCTACTCGGGAGGCTGAGGCAGTAGGATCGCTTGAGCCCAGGAGTTTGAGGTTGCTGTGAGCTAGGATGACGCCACGGCACTCTAGCCCGGGTAACACAGTGAGACTCCTCTGTCTCAAAAAAAAAAAAAAAAAAAAAAAAAAAAAAAAACTAGCTTTACTGAAGAGTACAGTCAGCTTAATTACTGGCTAGTGGACATAATTCAGACAAATCTAACTAAAGAGAAAAATAGACCAGGAAAGAAAGTGAAGGTACGGGGAAATGGAACTAGAGAAACCTCAGAAAGGGATAAAGGAGGTAATTAAAGGTTAAAGCCAGATGGCTTAGAGCTCAAAGGAGAAATACTGGAGGCCAGGTAGGGAAGTGCCTTCCTACTCAAGGGTTTATGCATCTAGGGTGGCTAGAGAACAGAAGCAGTTCCACCCAGGGCCAGAGGGAACAACCTGGGATTCAGATCCAGCAGTGGTGTCAATGTGAACCTACCTCGTGCTAGAGTCTGAGTAGCCTGGTCTATCAACCAACACAAATAAGACTGGACAGGAGCTCCCAAGAAGCAAGGTCTAAGAAGGGAGTTAGGAGAGGGGCTAAAAGAAAGCGGGTTAAGCCCCAGATGTAAATGAATGATGACCAGGGATAAATATTTACTAGTACTTTTATGATTTCTTGTACTTCTGTAACTTTGCCAATATTTGTTAATTTGTAAACCTCTGTTTTCCGGTAATTATTAGTAGTAAAAGTTGTGCAAAACATAAATGTGATGTGTGTGCTTATTTCTATGGAAACGGGGTTTTCTACAGTGAATATGGGAAGACAAGAACTCAGGAAAATGGGGAAAAGAAATCAAGTACAACAAACACTTGACATTCACAAACAATAGGTCAACAAGACCTTCCCAAATCCCCAAATCTGTAAATACTACTATTGACATTAAGCAGTTGGTTCTGTTTTAGGGGCTATTTTACCCCCATCAAAGACTACTTATGGGTCAAATAGAGAATTACAAAGCCTTTCTCAAATGTGGACACACATGGTTGGCTAAGCCACTCAGGCTGAGAGATAATTCAGACACCAGCCTTATGCTACATGATGTATTTTAAAACGATATATTTTAAAATGTCTTCATAGGAAACATCACATATATGAGCCCTCACTAGTGGTTACATTGTTTTAACAAAAAGCCTGAGTTCCTTTTCAGTCTACCACGGTATACATTCAATTTCTCCTTTAAGATTGAATATCCAGCAAATTTTACTCAGAGGCCTAGTTTTGAAATTAATATTTCTGCAGCAGTAACCAATTTTGAAACCAATTTTAAAAATATACCCCCCATTATCATTACATTAAATTCTAGAAAAGAACCACATTCTTTTTTTTCACAGGCATGTGCCACCACGCCCGGCTAATTTTTTCTATATATATTTTTAGTTGTCCAATTAATTTCTTTCTAATTTTTAGTAGAGGCAGGGTCTTGCTCTTGCTCAGGCTGGTCTCGAACTCCTGAGCTCAAACAATCCGCCTGCCTCGGCCTCCCAGAGAGCTAGGATTACAGGCGTGAGCCACCGCGCCCAGCCTAGAACCACATTCTTGAACGCTGAACATTTGTACAGACATTTGAAGAGCTCAGGAGGTAATGCATTCTTAATCATGTAAGTATCTCCTCCCTTCTGTGGGTCAGTACCTGCTGTAGGGCCATCATCAGGCAAACGAACAAGAGTGTAACATATTCCTGGTTGATTATAAGGAAGGCTGGGGGCTGGGATACAACGCAGCACTTCAAAGGAATCTGATGGCTCCATCTGCACTGTGACTTTCTCCAGTAGCTGGTCATTGAGAGTATTGGTACAGTCAAACTGAAAAGTCAGCAAACGAAAAAGTTGTGAAGGATAAGAAGTGTTTTCAAGTAAGTTGTTCCTTCCCATTTATGATCCATGACTCAGCTCTGGGACTCCACTATACCTTCCCTCTCTAAACAGAACTGTAGATCTCCTAAGATTTTTCTTTAGGTGACAAGGATAGTCTTATTCTTGAGATCTTTTTGTTTATATTATTGACTAGTTTTTTCTCTTCCCTGAGATTGCTCTATCAAACAAGATGGTAGAAATCTGATGGCTGTCAAATCTAAGTTCTTTGAACAACCCACTTAATTTACCCTGATGTTAAAAGATGATTTTTAAAAATAGGTTATACTTTATGTTGTCCAACTTCTTCAGACATTTCAGTTTTATGTCTTTTTATATTTTAACCCTCAAAAGTTATTCATCATATGAAGGGATCTCTATAGCTCTGGTATTAGGAAAGAAAACCAGCAATTCTGCTAAATTAATTTTCTGTAAAAAGAACTAGAATTATAAGCTAAAAGGGAATTGATATTTGTCTCAAAGCATACCAATTTACACTAAGTCCCTACAGGAGCCAAGGACACTTATCTCACCTGGAACACAATGTGATTGGTAAACATGTGCTTGATACAGCAAACAAAATATTCTGTCTCTGCTTCTGTAAGTTGAACAGGCTCAGAAGACTTGAACAAGGGTCCTAGAGTCATAAACTCAGGAATGGCAGCCAATTGTTCTATCAAGAAAAAAGGAAAGAAGATATGAAAAAGACAGGGAAAAACTTTACTCTGGATTCCTAAAATGTTTTAATTTCTAATGGCCAAACACTTAACTAATATGTCCCCAAGCTTTAGTGAAACAATCTTTTAAATAAGCAAGTTCATATACCGAATTACTAAAAGCAAAAAAAGAAACTAAATTCCTAATCTTTGAGTTTCCTGTTAACCAACAAGATACACATAACAACAACATTCCCAGTTAGCAACAGGAATTTGGAAAGTTCCATGGACTTGTGTACACTTCCTATGATCTTTAGCCACACAAATATTTCCTATACTGAGAATTAATCAAACTGATGAAGGTAGTAGACCTTATTATATTTACAATGCCTAGGGGCAAGATTATTCCTTCTACCTATCAAATCATCGTACCTTGGAAAATGTCTTGCCTGGAAGGAGCCAACTTCTCTGGCTTAGTAGCCACAAAGGTAATCTCTACAAAGACAGATACGAGCAGTTAAGTGAGCTTCCTTCCCATTATCAAGCTAACAATGCAGACAGAAAGAGATGAAGACAGAAACTTCTAGTTAGATATATAATGTGCTATTGTTAAACCATACCAATACCTTCTCTGTCACTATGGGGGGGGGCACTCAAATTAAAATTTAGTGAACATATATGGTTAAATAATAAAGTAAGCCCTAAAAATATAGATTTGCTTTAAATAAACTAGGATGTACAAAAAATTACTCAGAAAAGGAGGAATAATTTATAAAACAAATCTCATGATAAAAACAGAAAAAATCACTTGTATGGTATCAACAGAAAAACTGGAAATGTGGAAAATTAAGCATAAGTTCTTTTATTCCCAGTTCTGTATTCTAATCACTAAATACTTTTTTCCTCTTTTTTAAGTTTTAAAGGTAGATATTTGTTGGGAATATTTTTATGATCTTGTCCCATACATTTTTTTCAAGACAAACCTCCAATAGCAAAATTAATTTAGAAATTACCAACTTCAGAAAGTAAGAATAGGAGGTGATAGCATTATTATCGCCCTGAGATACACAGTGGCACTATGTACCTTCAAATGCTACAACACTATGCATTTTTAAAAAAAGAAAAGACGTTCATCTTGGTACACATTTTATTTTCTTGCTTTTATGTAAAAACTAGGATATTTTAAAAAAACTCCTATAAAAATACCATGTATCTTATATCTACAAGATTTAGAACGAGTGACAAACAAAACAAAACAAATATTAGAGAAAATATGCTAATATTTTGTAATTTTTTCCAGTTTCTATATTTTCTATTTTAGAAAATTTAATATTTACTAGTTTTGCAAAACTATTTGTGTACAGGAAAGTAGAGTTAACTGTTGCCATTACCTGCTTTCTGTTCAAAGACAGGAGCCATTGCAAGAGGAATCGATTTCATGTCAAAGGGTTTTTCTGAAGGCTCCAGTGTGTACTGGTATAAGGCTTTTTCCATCCCTGGTACAGAGACCATCAGACCTGTGAAATACAGATAAATCTCAGCATTATAACCTCTTGCCAATTCTATGCTCCAGATGGGCCCAGGTTTGTAATATTTATCTGAAGGAAGTTTTCTGAAGGAAGAGAAAAATACAACCACAGACTTTATAGCCCAAGTAATTAAAAATAAAAGTTATTATATAAAACTGCCTTATAAATTGCCTTATCTCATTCAAGAAAACATGGGAGCAGAGCATAAAAATTTTCAACAAAATGTAAGTACTTCCCAGAAAAGAAAGCAACTTAGCCATGTGGGAACAATGACAGCATAAGAAAAGGGAAAAAAGGTAAACCCATCCAAGAGGGAGTTCAAGGAGAAACAGAAATAAGCAATATTCTTTGGGCTCTTACATGCTTTAAGAAATATATTTTTATAGATTGTTTTATAGGAATTGCCATTACCAAATTAGAGAACATCCTATGAACACAGGTTTCCCTAGAAATGGAAGTGCATTCAAAGACAAAAACCAAGCATTTGCCTAGTGAAGTTAGCTCATATACAAATCATCATGAAATATGCTTCCAAGACACCATTTGGGGAATAAAAAGTGCGTTTGCCTACGTTCTTGGCTCTCACTGACCATTGGAGATATACGTAGCATTCAGTGCCATCTGCCTCTGCTTCAGCACATTCAGATAGAACGTAGCTCTGTCCCGTACCTCATCATCAGTATCCATCATACACCTGTCCAGAGGAAACAGAATAGGCATGTCACAGTACCTCAAAGATGTCCCATAGCTTTACCACCAAACCTAAAGGACACAGTTCAGGTCATCTGGTACCACCTTTGTAAAAGAGCTCAGTAATAGGCAAAGTGGCTCCTAAAGTTTCCACAAATGTTAGGTATTGTTCTAAATTACTAAAGAAATAACTTATTAATCAGAAGTACTATATAAGTAGGCAATAAAAATAACTAGAAAGAACACAGTAACATGAAATAGCAGAGTCTATTCTTGGATCTGTAACTTCATGACCCTGATGAAGACTTAAGACTTTTCTACAATTAAGAAATGAGAATATTATACTTTCTAAGGATACTAAAAAGATAAACAGCATTTAGAATCTGAGCATTGTTACTACTCAAATGGCAATTTTTTTATTTAAACCAGCCAGCCACTGGCTTGTAATTTACCTGCTTCAATTACAAGATGCAATCACAGAATCTTTTCCTCGTCAAATAGGGAGTCATGGAGACCATGAAAAGCTACTATTTTCAACTCTACATAGTAAATTGCCTAAGATCTTTTTTAAGTTAGACCCTATTATACAAATTGAGGTATATGTATTTAAGTCACTTTCTCAAAATTATATAAGAGAAATCCAAAATCAAATGTTACATGTACCTAGCACATATATAATTACTAGAAAGAGAAAGAAAATGCCATTTGCCCCCGACTTACTCCATCGGCTCTATCTTTGGCCCTGTAGTGCATCCAATATGGTACAATAAGGATTTTGCTATTTAGCCATGTGGAATTCTTATTTTACAAAAAAAAAAAAAAAAAGACATTCTTTTACTTACCTTTGTAAAAGTACAAGGATGCTTGGGAGAAGACTCTCATTCTGAGCCCCAAATTTAGCCAAAGCACTCACAGCAGCTATAATTAATGAAGCATAAAATAAAACAATATAAATATTGGTTACTCAGCGTTAAGCAATAATCATTTTTTAAAAAACTAGAGAAGTTTCCCCATGTTCAGTGGAGACAAACTCACTTGTTTTATTCAGTGTTTCTTGATCTTATATCTTTGATACATTTAAGCATAAATAGAATTCTGCAGGCACAAGAGAGCTCTGAATAGGAAAATCCTCCATGCATTGAAGGAAAAGAATAATATAGGTTTTCTGTATAAGCCATATCTCCACCCCACCACAACCCCTTATATATCACACTGATATGATTAAGTTCTAATCTCAAACAACCAGCCCCAAGCATAAAAAGAAATTCTATTATTAAAATTTCTTGCATTCAATAAAGACTCACTATTTACCAAACTTTAGTCAGGAAGTATGCTAGGTGCTGGGGGTAGATAAAAGACATAGTCCCTGACCTCAAGAGTTATACTTTAGTGGGAAAGACAGGTAAGTGAAAAGATAATTATAATATAGTAAGTCCATGGTAGAACTATTATCTAGGATGCTATGTGAGTACAGAGAAAAGAACTTAAGTCAGAAGTGGTGGCAGAGAAGTAAGACAAGGAGTTGACACTTACTACTTGAGCTAAATTTTGAAGAACAAGTAGAATTAGTCAGAGGGAAAAGTCAGGAAAAGTATTAGAGGCGAAGAGAATAACAAGTACAAACGCCCTCTGACCAGAGAAGAAAGCATGGTATAGTATTGGACACAGCTGAGCAAGGCTGAACATGCGACCTGTAGGAGAGCAAGAAGAGACTAGAGATAAAACAAAAATAGGGTGTTTTTAAACCTCAAAGTTATTATTAAAGGATATTAAACATGGGATAAATTTACATGTTTGAAAGACCATTTTTAGCTGAGTGCGGACTATACACTGGCTATGTGTTGAGTCTAGTAAACAGACTAGTTAGGAGTCTGAAATGGTTGACAGCCTAACTCAGTACCCCTGAAAATAGAAAAGAGAATGAAGAAATATTAAGGAGACAGAATTGACAGCATTTTGCTAAAGAATAGATGGGAGCTGTAAAACAGTAGAATAAGTTTCTATCTTCACAACTGAGTGGATGATAAAGGTGAAATTTGGGTTAGTTTGAATTTCAGGTTGAATTTAAAGTGCCTTAGGCAGTTGGACACACAGGTTCAGGAAAGAGACATGACTGGAATGTCATAGCGTATCAGTAGAGCTCTGATAGCCAGGAAGAATGTGTATGTTGAGAAGATAAAACCCTAAGGAGAAGTAATATTTTAAGGAATGAGCCTAGGAAAAGAAACTATAAATAAGAGTGAGGAGTGATGTAAAAATGTGGGCCATTGTGGAAATCAAGGGTAGAGGGTTTCATCAAGTGTTTAGTCAATAGTACATCACATCAACAGAGGTGAACAAAGATAAGAACATTAGTGTCTGATTTATTTCCCAAGTAGTTTATAAGTAATTTTCTTAAAAAAATAGCTTCAGAGGATTTTTGAGGGAGAGAGCTAGATTATATTGAGTTGAAGAGAAAATGGACAATGAATTCATGCTGGCAGCTAATAATGGCTACTTCAGGTTTGTCTCAGAAGGGAAGAAAAGTATAGTGTCAGCAGCTAGTGAGAGATGAAGGCTAACAGGAGGGTTTACTTTTTTTTTTTTTTTTTTTTTTGAGACAGAGTCTTGCTCTATTGCCTGGGCTAGAGTACCGTGGCATCAGCCTAGCTCACAGCAACCTCAAACTCCTGGGCTCAAGCGATCCTTCTGCCTCAGCCTCCCGAGTAGCTAGGACTACAGGCATGCACCACCATGCCCGGCTAGTTTTTTCTATATATTTTTAGTTGTCCGATTAATTTCTTTCTATTTTTAGTAGAGACGGGGTCTCGCTCTTATTCAGGCTGGTCTCGAACTCCTGACCTTGAGCGATCCACCCGCCTTGGCCTCCCAGAGTGCTAGGAGTACAGGCGTGAGCCACCACGCCCGGCCAGGTTTACATCTTTAACAGGAGGAATTTGGACCTATTCATAAGGTCCTTCCCTAAGGGGAAGGAAAGATTAGAAAGGAAGTCACTTAAAAATATATAGACACACACATAATACAAATTTTACATACAATCATACATATGGCTATAACTCTGGAAAAAAGGAAGAGCCATCACAGTACTTGTATCACACTGAAATGCAAGGGTTCTCTCTAATCTAAGGCAAAAATGAGAATAGAAATTGGAGTACAGAGAAAGACCTATACATCTGGAGCTCTACGTATGCTCTAAGATCCTACCATAAAACAGATCTCGCAGCTTCATTTTCCATTACCACCCTCTTGAGTTAAGTATTTCAAAAGATCAGCAGATCACATCATTATCAGTGTTCCAATGACTCACCCGCTCTGATAGCCTCATTCTCCAGGACGACCCTATTAAAAATAAAGCGGATATACTTGGAGGGGACAGGTGTTCTGGGGCCCTCTTTGCCCAACAAGTGTAGAATCTTAGTAGCCAGAACAGTGTGTTCACAGTCCTCAATGAATTCACAAAGGTGGGCTAGACCTGCTTCTTTACTCTCAGGGTTCTCTTCCACAATGCTGATTATGCAGTCCACAATGGCCCGCTTATATTCAAAGCCTCCCTGGCAAGAGAAGATAAAACTGCCATTCATTCTAAGGACACTTTTTGGAAAAATGCTTATATTCCAAGGCTCATGCTTATAATATTCAAATTTCATTTCCTGCCCTTTATGAAAGAAACAAAAGTGTTTTTTTCTTCAAGTGGGAAAGCAGAGCAATGGCACGTTTTGCAATAAGACAGGAACCAGACTTATGTATACTACTTGAGAGGCATACTGAGATGATAAAGAAATTAAAGCTTAAAACACTATGGTAGTTAATGGCAATTGAAAGAATTTAAGAAAGCAATTTCCTATGATTAAAACGTAGTCTACCTACATCATCTCGCAGCATGTTAGAGAGGAAAGTCATCATGACGCTATGCTTTCGAGGGTATTTCTGACAGAGAGCACTAATTGCCTGTACAACCACCACCTGTAGAAAAACAAACAAAAGAGTCACCTTTATAATGACTGTACAACCACCACTTATAGGAAACAAACATCTTTATAACTTTAGCTGTAAAGCATAATTTCCCTCTTATTTACTATAAGCTAAGAAGACATTACAGTTATCTAAAAAGACAATAATTGTTCTTCATCAAAGATAAGAAAGGAGACCTCAAATGAAAATAAAAAGCAATGTAAAAATGGCGTTCATTCAAGAGATTCTATCTCTCCACCTTAAACAAATAAGCACGTAAAAATTTTAAAGTAAGCAGTAAAGATAAAAAGTTTGAACAGACTGATTTCCATAGGAGAAACAGAGAAAGTCATCAAGGAACTACTTCACAAAATGGTTTCTACGGGAATTTTACCACAACATTAAAGACCAGTGTCAAGGAGTGTGAAGGGTGCGAGATTTTACCCTACTTGCAAGTTAACCTGCTACAATTTCATGGATGCTGGTAAAAAACACTAGACTTCTGGCTCAGCAATGAAAGACAGTTACTGCTGTAATTACACCAATAGCAGTAGCTAGAGTATCAGCATTTTGGGGTGAGTTTCCTTGAACCCCAATTCCCACAGGGCAATGCAAAAAGAGCCAGATAATACCTTGACCCACAGTGGGTTACATTACAGGATAACAACTCCGAGGTAAGGAAATTGAATATTTTACAATGGGCAGTAAGCACGCCTGTCCTTTGTTCTGAAGGAAAACATTATTATACTGGACAGTCAACATGTTTGCTTTGTGCTCCAGTGGGAGTACTATTTGTATTTTCAAGGGCTGTAAGGAAATCTGCCCTTTAATTTAGAGGAAGACATTATCTCTGTCTTCTAAGTCCAGAAGATACCTTGTACTATACAAAGGGAACAAAGTTGGGATGGTAGGAAACAGGGCAGTGAGTGTCTAACTTGCAAGATGTGCAGAAATGCAAAGAGACCCATGGAGAATTGAGAATTGTCTACCAACAATCAGATAAACCCAAATCTATATATGTTGTTTTGGAGCATAAAAAATGAAAGAAAATGTCCATAATCTTTCTGTGACATAATGATATTTAAACCTAATAAAGATGGTATATATGTACAGAAAGGAAAATTAACAATTAAAATAATTTATGAATATTGATATAAAAATTCTAAGTAGTATGTTAGCTAACAGAGTCTAATACTAATACTACATTAAGGAAATAATTAATATACCATGATGAAATACAAGGATGGTTCAATATTAGAAAATTAATATAATTCATCATATTAATAAGTCAAAGGAAAAAAATTATATTATATCCAAAATGCTGAAAAGCCTTTGATAAAAATCCAACACCCATTCCTCATAAAAATTCTTGAAAAAATACGAATAGATGGATACTTCCATAACATAAATATAAATACCTCAATTCTAATGCCAGTGTATTAGTTAACAGGGAACCCTGAGAAGCATTTCCATTAAGATCAGAAATAATACCAGGATGCTACTATCTCTACTTTTATTTAACATTATTCTGGAGATATTAGCCAATGCAATTAGATAAGAGAAAATAATTAGAGGAATAGGAATTGGAAAAGACAAAACACAAAAACTATCTTTATTTTCAGATGATATAAGATAGTATACCTGAAAATCCAGATAATCAATAATAAAACTAACTCAATAATTCAGCAAGGTAGCAGGATATAAAATTAACATACAAAACCAATAATATTCATATACATGAATAATAACTAGTTAGAAGATACAACAGATTAAAAAACATTTATACCAGCCTGAGCAACATAGCAAGACTACAAAAAATTCAAAAGTTAGCCGGGGATGGTGGCATGCACCTGAGTCCCAGCTATTTGGGAGGCTGAGGCAGGAAGATTGCTTGAACCCAGGAGTTTGAGGTTACAGTGAGCTATGATGATGCCACCGCACTCTAGCTCAGGAAACATGAGATCCTGTCTCAAAAAAAAAAAAAAAAATCATAATAGCAACAAAAATATAAATTATTTAGAAATAAGCATTTAAAAAACATTCAAAACTAACATAAAAATATTATAAAACATTCTTGAAAGGCAAATTTGAACACATTAAAAGACATCCTTGTCTTTGTTAGGATATCTAAACATCGTCAAGACATTTATTCTCCCCTATGTTAACTTATGAATATTTAATGTGATCCTAATAAAAATGCCAATGGGATTTTTTATGAAGCTAGACCAGTTGATACTAAAGTTTATTAGAAAAACAAACATACAAGAATAGCCAGGAAAACAATGAAAATAAAGAGCTATGACGGAGGGTTAACAGACATTAATATATCCTACAAAGCTTCTTTATTTAACATAGTGTGTGGCAGTGGTGTATGAATAAATAGACCAACATAATAAATAGAATAGAAAGCCCAGAAACAGACCCAAATACATATGGAACTCTAGTATATCATAAAGATGATATCTCAAATCACTGGGACAAAAATAGTCTGTAAATAACATTTTGGGGGGCAACTGGATAGTCACTGGAAAAGGAAAAGATTGAATCTGTTTCTCACACCATAAACAATAATAAAATCCAATGGATCAGAGATCTAAATGTAAAATACAAAAGTATAAATGTACTAGAAGAGAACATGGGTGAATCCCTCTATAATCTGAAGGAAAAGGCTTTTCTACCTATGACTTAAAAGTCAAATGACGGTGGCTCACGCCTGTAATCCTAGCACTCTGGGAGGCTGAGGCGGGCGGATTGTTTGAGCTCAGGAGTTCGAGACCAGCCTGAGCAAGAGGGAAACCCCGTCTCTACTAAAAATTAGAAAGAAATTAATCGGACAACTAAAAATATATAGAAAAATTAGCCGGGCATGGTGGCACATGCCTGTGGTCCCAGCTACTTGGGAGGCTGACACAGAAGGATTGCTTGAGCCCAGGAGTTTGAGGTTGCTGTGAGCTAGGCTGACGCCACGGCACTCTAGCCCAGGCAACACAGTGAGACTCTGTCTCAAAAACAAAAACAAAAAAAAGGTCAAATGAGATAAAAAACTGACAAATTTTACTACATAAAAATAAAAAATATCTTTGCATGACAAAAGACACCATAAGAAAAGTCAAAAGACAAATGACAAACTGGGAGAAAATATCATAACATGTTTCACATATAAAGACCTAATATCTTTAATATACAAAAAAACTTTAATTGAGGAAACAAAAGACCAAAATCCTAGAGAAAATGGCGGAAAGATCTGAGCAGACAATTCACAAAAAGAGATATTAAATGGCCCTTAAAAATAAGAAAAGATGTTTAAGTTCTCTCATAATAAGAGATATTCAAATTAAAGCTACATTGAGATAACATTTCTCAACCAAAAGGCTGGTAAAACTTCAAAAGCTTAATGATACACATTATTGGTGAAACTATGGAAAAACTGGCACTCTCATACATTGCTGGTAGAATTTAGCATTCTCTGTAAATTACCTATTTATTTACCCTTCGACCTAGCATATGGACTTGAAGGAATTTACCCTAAGGATACACCTCCAACGTTTTGAAAAAATATGCATGAGGTATCCACTGCAGCATTACTTTGTTATTGCAAAATACTACAAACTATGTAAATGTCCAAGCATAGGAGATTGGTTCAACAAACAACTATATACACCTACTGGGGTACTATGTAGCTATAAATAAAAATAAGGAATGTCTCCATGTACTATTTTAGAGTGATTTCCAGTATATACTTTTAGGTTAAAAGAAAAGAGAGAAAGTACAAGATAGCATTTGTAATATGCTATCTTTCATTTATGATAAAAGAGAAAATAAGAAACATGTATCTCTTGTCTTTATAAAAAGATACACAAAAAAGATAAACCTAAAAGCAATAAAGTTGGTTACTCATGGGGGGAGTGGAAGAGATAAGAGAAAGTGACATTTTTCTGAATATACTTCTTTGTATAGTTTTGACTTTTGGAAGTATAATGTTCTACACATTAAAAAATAAATCATTAAGATGAGAAGGGGAAAAATATTAAAATTGAAAGCAACCTGAAACAAATCCATTTGTATTTCAAAAGAAATAACTACACTGAAAAGAAGAAAAAAAAAAAAAAAGAAAAAGAATCCAAATAACTTAGTCAATATTCAACTCTTCTGTGTGTGTAGATTTTAAAAAACCAGTTTTGGACTAGTAGTTCTTTCTATACTATACGCACATAAAACAACAATAATAGTGACACTGGAATATTATACTTAGATCTTTATTATTTCATTTAGACTTCACAATAACTCTTATGAGGTAAGTACTATTATTTCCCATAGTACAGTGAAGGAACCTAAGGCAGGAAGAGTTTATGTGAATCACTTGAGGCAAACATCTAATATAAGTGGCAGAATCAGGATTTAAATCCTGGGATTTTGATTCTAAAGGTCATTCCATTAACCACCACAAAAACTGCCTCCAAAACTCCTAACTCTTTAGCCTGACATTTTAAATTGGTCTTGTATATGCATTTCTGTTTGGAATATACTGAAGGAATGAAATTGTTGGGTCATTGGGATATGCACATGTTCAGCTTTAGTAGATACTGCCAAACAGTTTTCCAAAGTGTCTGTACTAACTTAAATTCCCACTCACAGTATATAAAAGTTTTGGTTTTCCACATCTTCACCAACACTTGATATTTCCAACTTTTTCATTTCAGCCTTTCTGGTGAGTAACTGACATTATGGTTTTGATTGTATTTCCTTGATGATTATAAATTTTTCATATGTTCATGGCCATTTGTATATCCTTTTTTATCGAAAGTCTTTTTTAAGACTTTGGACTCTTTTTATTATCTGCCTTTTTCTTTTTGGTTTGTAAGACTTCTTTATAAATTCTCAAATTGAGCCTTTTAAGGCTCAGCTCGTATGTACTGCAAATATTTCCCACTCTGTGGCTTGTCTTTTCATGTCTTTTGATAAGTGGGAATTCCTTAATTAGGTCCAATTTATCAAAATTCATTTGTGTTTTATTTTTAAAATATTTTTCTTATTCCAGGGTTATGATGGTCTCCTGTGTTTTCTTTTAAAACATTTATTGTTTTGCTTTGTATATTGAGATCTGCAATCCATCTGAAATGGATTTCTGTGTATGGTGTGAGGTGGGGTTAAGATTCACATTTTTTCCATGTGGATATCCAACTGATGAACTCCCATAATGCTTTAATAACATTTTTATCTTAACTAACATAATTGATACCTGAACTCAAAGATGTCCCAAAAGGCAGACAATAAAAAAAGTGGGGAGGATAGTCTTGAAGAGACCATCTGTAAAAAAGAATATAAACATAGAAATGTTAGGTAGCAGAGAAAGAAGCAGAATGTTATGCTTAGGGGGAAATGCATTTGAGATTAGAAAGCCTAGGTTTTGGTCTTAACTCTGCAGCTAATTCACTGTGTTACCTTAGGTAAGTCAGTCATCTTTCAATGCTGTAGTTTCCTCAATTGACAAAAAAGAGACAAAAGAGCAGCTTGCATAGTAGTCATTCTTACTGAAGGATTTAAGAGACAGAGCAGTAAATATCTACAAATGATTACATAGATTTATTTTGGTAAGTTTTTGGGGATAAGATATTTGATGTAACTCCAACTTTAGGATGCCTCTCTGACTCCTCAAACTTGCTTCCCAACAATATATATTTCATTTCTTTATTTCCTTCCTAAATGACCACGTATGTTTACACAGAAGTTACCATTAGAAGACCCTAAAGAATGGGAAAACATTTTGAAAAACACTGTGGAGGGCTATAGGCAGCATCATATCCAGTGAAATACAGTGATATTGATACTGGGTTGTGATCAACTACTTTGTATTACAAAATTCCATACAGTGAGATACAGAAAATGAGAATTTTAAAAACTATAGAAAATCACAGACAATATTCAATAGTATACTTAGCATTTCACAGTTGGTGAGGATTTATTTTATAGGGTTAAAAAACCAGGCAAATTAGTGATACAGGAAGAGATACTGCCAATCGTAAAAAAGTTTAGCTTAAACATTTAAAATGATTTTATTCTTTTTTGCACTCTTTTTCTCATGACATATTTCATACTATTTATAACATATATATTTAGCAAATGATTATAAAAACAAATGCCTGTGCAATTACCATACAGACTTTTAAAAAGAGCATTTCCATTATCTATTCCTGTATGCTCCATTGCTTTGTTCCCAGAGATGATCACTCTCCTGAGTATCTTTACCATTTTCTTGCTTTTCTTCAGTTTACCATATGTACATATCCCCATACAATATACATTGTTTAGTTCTTTAGTATTTACATGAATGCTATGGTGTTCTGCAACTTGTTCAATGTGACATTTGCAAAATTTAACGTCTATGATTCAAATGATCTCCCGGTTTCAAAAGTAAAATCCCAGGATTTTTTTTTTTTTTTAAAGAATATACATATATCTTCAAATTTACTAGATAACGTTGGATTGATTTCAGAAGTAGTTGTTTACGGGGGTACACAAGGTTTCCATTGCTTCACATCCTCACCAACAATTTTGTTTTTGTGTGCTATAAACTTTTTAATGTTCTAAAACTGAAGTCAGTAAACCATAGCTCAATCTTATCTGTGTCTTGCTTTTGTACAGCCTGAGAGCCAAGATGGTCTTTACATTTTTAAAGAGCTGTTAAAAAAAAAAGGCAAAGAAGAATATGCAGCAGAAACCAGAGGGTCCCAGAAAGCCTTAACTATTTATTTAATGGCCCCTTAAAGTTTGCCAATTTCTGTTCTGAAACATCCTTACCAAAACTACTTTCCCTATCATTCCAGTTTATTTTACAAATATTTGCAAAAATGACCTCCATAACTTCTCAAAGTTCTCTGCCGATTCAAAATGTCCGCTTAAATATACACACTAAGTTTGTTTTTTAGTCTAGATATATACTAAGCAGAGAGTAAACAGGGTCAGTTATACTACTTGGCTGGGTATTAAGAAAGAGTAAAACAATAAAATCTGTCTACCTTAATTTTTCTAAGTGAAATTTATTGTTCTTTTTATCATCTCTGACACACTCTCACCAGTTCTATTCAATACTGTACTAGAAGTAGTATTTTTAAAAGGCAAGAGAAAGAAAGGAAAAGCATTTGGATTGGAAATAAAGAAGTAAAACTGTCTCTATTCACAGATGATGTAATTATTTACATAGATAATCCCAAGGAATGTATCTAACAACTATTAGACCCAATAAGGGAATTCAGCAAGGTCACAGGATACCAAGTTAATATAGAAAAATTTTTTTAAAAAGTATTTTTTCATATACTAGCAGTAAATAATGAAATATAAATTTTAATAAAATGGTATCAAAAGGCACAAAATATTTATATATAAATTTAACAAAATATTTGTAAGACCTCTAGAGTAAACACTATAAAACATTGCTCAGGGAAATTAAAGAAGATCTAAATAAAGGGAAAGATATAGCATATTCATGAATTGGAAGAATAATGTTAAGATGTCAGTTCTCCCCACTTTGATTTATAGATTCAACACCATCCCAGTCACAATCCTAGCAGGCTTTGTTTTACAGAAATTAATAAACTAGTTCTAAATTTTATCTGGGAATGCACAGGAACTAGAATATCAAAAAAGAGAAAGTTGGAAGACCACATTATTTGACATTCAAGAGGTTCCATAAAGCTACACTCATCAGTATAGTGTGGTACTAGCATTGGACTGACAAAAGGATCAGCGGAATATGATCAGGAGCCTAGAAATATACCTTCAATTATATGGTTATTTGCTTTTCAGACAAAGATGCTAAAGCGCTCCAACAGGGAAAGGGAAGTCTTTCCAACAAATTATGCTGTAATAACTGGATAGCAGTATGGAAAAATACTGAACTTCCATGCAAACATTAATTCAAATTGTGTCACAGACCAAAATGTAAAAGCTAAAAACAGAAAGCATTTAGAATAAAACACAAGAAAATATCTTTATTACTTGGAGGTAGATAAAGATTAGATAGGGCACAGCAACAACTGTGAAAGAAAAAAATTGATGAATTGGACTTCATGAAAATTAAAAACTTCTGCTCCTCAAAAAACACTGTTAAGAAAAGAAACAGGCAGGCCACAGATTGGGAGAAAACCTGATCATGTTTAAACTCTTACCTTGAACTCATCTGAGATTTCAGACACAAAAGAAGATATCTGCTTCATGAGCCTGTCAACACTGCTCTCACTTCCTGTTTTGAGGAGTGTAGTAATGGCTAGGGTGGCAATGCTTCTGTTTGAGTCTGTGATCAAGTTTTCTAAATCCAGATTGCACGCAGTAACAGCAGAGGGGTGCTTCATTGCCACCTTGTGGAAGGGCAAGAAAAAAAAAATTAAGCAAATGACTTTTGATAAAGGCCAGAACTTAAAATTTTAATTAAGGTAAGTGGCAATCCAAAGAGGATAGTACAGATTAAAATAATTGTTTCAAGGAGAATGTTTCCAAATAATGAAGTATAATATATTTCTTGATAAATGATTAATTGCCACAGTACAGCATAGTACCCTCTTTTGTTAGAGTCCTATAAACTTTATAAGAATATCACAGTCTGTTTTTTATTATAGTTGGCCTGTATTTCCTTATAGTGCATGTGTCCATGCATGTTTACTCTTCTAGATGTTAGGATCTCTGAGAATAGGATCTGGCATGGTAAACAGTGCTCAAGAAAGACTGTTAAAATCTTATCATTTAGAAAACACTTGCGCATTTAAACATGCAAACTCCAAACTGGATTACCCATGGTCACTAAAACAGGTCTGTCATTCTGCTTCCTTGCTTTTGTTGATGTTGTTCTACCTCTCTGCCTGTCCCAGTATTGGTATAGAATCCCTTACCGACAATTCTGAAAAGTTGAAAACACTCTGCCAAACTATTGGCATCAAAATTTATTTAACAGCAAAATATGACCCAAACAAATATAAATAATACTATTTAAGTCTTAATTTATCTCAGAGAGGACAGTCATATGTTTTATGCAAAAATAACAATCTGTCTTAATGGTGGGGTGCTGCTCCAGGCCCACTGGGGTTAGTAGATAAGAAATAACACCATATTACCTTCCTAAAATTCACAAAAAAGTAAATTCTGAAACATGTTTGGCTCCAAGATTACAGATTAAGAATTGTGGACCTATATCAACTCTTTAAAATACAATCTGAATTGTTGTTCTATATAGACTTCTCCCATGGCTGCTCTAAACTTCTCTCTCCTCCAGTTGTTCATACAATTAACTTGCAATTGATTATGTACTGCCTTATGAGAAGTCTTCTACTACATTAACATTTTATTTAAAATTTTTATGGTTAATTATTGTGTGTTTCTGTATTATATCTTCTAAAATATATACTGTCTAATATGATAGCTAATAGCCCATGTTACTACTCAAAATTTGAAAGGTGCCTAATCCACATTAAGATACGCTGTAAATACAAAATATATACTTGATGTCAAAAACTTGAGATATGTCAAAATATCAATATCTCTTAATACTGATTACATGTTAAGAAGATGTTTTTTATATATTATGGTAAAAATATATTATTAAAATTAATTTTACCTCAAAAAGTTTTTATGTGGTTACTATAAAATGTGGTTACTAAAAAATTGCATATATGACTCACATTGGGTTTCTATTGGACAATGCTGCCGTAGACAGCACTGTGTGAGAGAACTTTCTTCAGTGATAGAAGTGTTCAGTATCTGCACTGTCCACTATGACAGCTACTAACTACTGTGGCTATGAGCACAAGAAGAGTGACTAGTGTCACTGGGCAACTGAATTTTTAATTTAATTTTAATTAATTTAAATTGAAATAGCCACTTATGGCTAATGGCCAGCATATTGGACAGTGCGGTTCTTGAATATAAAATGCTTAGAAGTCAGAAATGAAGGCTGCAATCTTCAGCTAAATAATAATAAAAATGGCCATCCCTAAAGCCATAAATTCAAGTGAGGTATTGTAGAAGTAAAGCCTATAAATCATATATAATATATACTAACCTTAGAGAGAAAGCCAAATGCTTCACGTTTAATGTTTCTCAATCAAACTCAATATATATACACAATATCCACACACACAAAATGTAACTACTGATTTAAGTCAATAGTTAGCAAAGGGACACCTACCTTGTTCAAGGTCCTCACAGCTGCATATCTCAAGGCTGGCTTAGGAGAGCTACAAAAAAGCTGAAGAACTAAAAAACAAAAAATAAAAAAACCCACTATAATAAATATTGCTCAGTTTCTCATATATCATATAGCTGAAAATATAGTACATAATGAATCATATTCAAAATATGCATAAGGAAATACAATCACGGCATCAAAAATTCACATGAAAAATAAATCAAAAATAGAAAAAGCATTTTTTGTTCAGCTATAAAAACTAAATTAATAGAAAACAAAGTTTACTCTTTTTTCTGAAAGAATTGGTGTACTCATTAGTATTTGAATTTTTAAATGGTAGAAGTATTGACAGTTATGAGAGCAAATGGGCTTTTTAAATATTAAGGAAAACTGAAGATCTTAAAGTTACTTATCTTCTATGTTAAATTTTTTCCAAAGTTTTATATGGGGAAATAGAAACTTCAAAAAAGCAAATAATACAGTAAAGAAGAACTAAAACTACATATAAGCTATCAGAATGCAAAACCTGTAAGTACAGAGCTAAGATTCAAAAATCATTCTTAATACCTATTCTGCAGACCTATGGAATTTAAAACAGATATTTAAGAACATAAATAAAAATCAGCCATCAAATATACAACTAACCTGAAATAGCAGGTGCCAACTCTCTTGCAGTACAGTTAGGAAGATGGATAATAGCTGAAGCAGCTTCATAAATAACCATTTCATGTTTATTTCGCAAGCAGCTCTCAATGAAATCAAAGAATGGACTTTCATGGCTGCCGATAAACATATATAGGCCATTATTTAGATATCAAATAGAAAGGCAATAAGTATGGGGATTACAGCCACAAACAGATTGAGGAGGATTTCTGGAATGGTGGATAAAAGGCATCTGAAAATTCACTTCTCCAAAAAGCAATAAGAACACTGGCGAAAACTGTGAAAATCACTTTTTCAGAATCCTAAAAATTAATCAAAGACTTGCAACAATTCTGTGAACATTTTTCAAGAAAAATAGCTGAATCTTGGTAAGAATGGTGAGCTTTTTGGTGCTTTAACTTACACTGTTCCCAATTTCCACCCTCTTCTTCCCAGTTCCATAGCAGCCTTGGAAACCAGTAGCCTTAGAACCACAGCAGCTATGAGGGCCAGCAGCCTAGCAGCCACTGGAAGAGGTGAAAGCCTCATCCCCAAAGAGCTGTCACTATTTGACCTGCCTGATGCTCCCTAGAAAAGGCCATTCACAAGCTAATCTTTCATTTCACCTGATTCAGAGCTCATTCAGTGAGGAAAGCTCTGTCCCCAGGGATTTTGTCCAAAAATACCAGTGGCAATACTTCAGCTGCCAGAAGCACAAATTCTAGTGGGGACAAACAAGAGACTGGCCAAAAAATTAAAAAAAAAACAAAATATGGGGAATGAAATGTCCTTACAGGGATTTGGAAATTTCTGAAATATTTCTGGGGATCTAGAAGGCTGTGTGCAGATAAGAGCTGAGCAAATGCTCAGCAAAAGATCTGACAAAGCCCTAATCTCTCACCTTTGCTTGACTCTGAGGATCTATGCAAGTAGGAAGTGAAGGCTAAGGCAGAGTTGTAAACTGCTGGGACATGGAAAGCATGCCCCAACACATATAGTGCCCCTTGGAAAATGATGGGAGACATGTCAGTTTAAAACATTTAAGAAAATCTCTGTCAAATCATTATATGATGACTCAGCTAATCAAACAGAACCTTCAGTGGCTATACATGATATGAAGCCTACAGTCTAGGAAAGTCACTAAAAAAAGAACAAGAACAAATAACAACAGCAACAAACCCTGGGGTTGGGGGAGGGGGCAATGTTGCCATATTATATTATATTATTATTATTATTTTTTTTTTTTGAGACAGAGTCTCACTGTGTTGCCCGGGCTAGAGTGCTGTGGCGTCATCCTAGCTCACAGCAACCTCAAACTCCTGGGCTCAAGTGATCCTACTGCCTCAGCCTCCCGAGTAGCTGGGACTACAGGCATGTGCCACCACGTCTGGCTAATTTTTTTTCTATATATTTTTAGTTGTCCAATTAATTTCTTTCTATTTTTAGTAGAGACGGGGTCTCGCTCTTGCTCAGGCTGGTTTTGAACTCCTGAGCTCAAACAATCTGCCCACCTCAGCCTCCCAGAGAGCTAGGATTACAGGCGTGAGCCACCTCGCCCGGCTATATTATATTATTTAAAATACAATGTTTTTGACAAAAAAATTATGAGACACATAAAGAAATAGTGAAGTATGGCCCACATACAGGGGAAAAAAACAGTCAATAGAACTTATCCCTGAGCAAGCCCAGATGTTGGACTTACTAGGCAAAAACTTTAAATCAGCTAATATGTCCAAAGAAATAAAGGAAATCATAACTAAAGAATTAAAGGGAAGTATAATAATGATGCCTCCCCAAAAAGAGACTACCAAAAAAAGAGACCAAAATGATTTCTTTTTTAAAAAAGAAACCATATAGAAATTCTGAATTTGGAAAGTACAATGACTGGAATGAAAAATTCAACTGAAAAGTCCAATAGCAGATTTTTAGTGGCAGATCAAAGAACCAGAAAACTTGAAGATAGGTCAACTAAGATAAAACAACTGAAAAAAATAAAGAAAAAAAAAAAAGGAAGAAAAATGAACAATACTAAGGAGACCTGTGTAACATGACCAAAGTTATCAACATTTGTATGATAGCAATTTGGGAAGGCAAAGAGAGACACAAAGGGGCAGAAGAAAGAAATATTTGAAGAAATAATGGCTGAAAATCACCAAATTTGATGAAAAACATTAATCTATGCACCAAGAGTCTCAGAAAATCTCAAGCAGAATAAATACAAAAAGATCCACCATAGACACACCACAGTCAAACTGTTCAAAGTACAGATAAAGAGAAAATCTTGACAGCAGCAAGATAAAAACTACTCATTATACTGTACAGGGAAAAATCAATACGATTAATGGCTGACTTCTCATCCGAAACAATGGAAGACAGAGAGTAAAATACCATATTAAAAGTGCTAAAATGAAAAGACAAGAATTCTATGTCTAGCAAAACTATCCTCCAAAACCGAAGGCTAAAACAGACAATCTCAGATAAACAAACACTGAGAGAATTCACTGCTAACAGATTTCCTTTACAAAAATACTAAAAGAATACTTTAGACTGAAAGATGGTCTCTAGACAGTGACATGAATAATCAGGGGAAAATAAACAGCACCAGAAATGGTAAATATGTAAGTTGATATAAAAGATTTTATAGATACATTTTTCTCTTTCTTAACTACTTTAAAGAAAATAAAACTGTATAAAGCAATAATTATAACATTTTATCGTTGAATTTATAACACATACACAGGTAATATACATGCCAAAATGGGAGGGAGGAGGAAATAGAACTACACTTGAACAAAGATTTTATATTTTACTGAAATTTAGTATTAATCTGAAGTAGATTATGATAAATTAAAATATATATCATAATCCCTAGAGCAACTAAGAAAAAACTTTTTTAAAAAAGTTAAAATATTTTTAAAAATAATTTTTATGTCAAAATATTAAGGGGGTACAAGTGTTTTTGTAACATGGATGAACTATAGAATGCTGAAGTCAGGGCTTTTAGCGTGACTGTCACCAGAACAGTGTACGTTGTACCCGATATGTAAATTTTTATCCCTCACTCCTCCCAACCTCCCCGCTTCTTAATTTCCAATGTCCTTTACACCACTTCATGACTGTGCATACCCATCATTTGGCTCCCACTTATTGGTGAGAATATGAGGTGTTTTTTTTTTTTCATTCCTGAAATACTTCACTTAGGATAAGGTTCTCCAGTTCCATCAAGGTTGCTGCAAATGACATTATTTCATTCCTTTTTATGGCTGAGTATACACCACATATTCTTTATCTACTCATCAACTGATGGGCACTTAGGTAGATTTTATATCTTTGCAACTGTGAATTACACTGTGATAAACATTTGGGTACAGGTGTCTTTTTGGTCTTTTTGATATAATGACTTCTTTTCCTTTGGATAGATACCCAATAGTGGGATTGCTAGATCAAAAAGTTAAAATACTGACAGAGGTATTAGAATGATACATTAAAAATATTTATTTAACACAAAAGAAAGAAATCAAAGGGGAAGAGAGGAACAAAAAAGATGAGAGACTTACACAGAATAAATAGCAAAATTCCAAAAGTAAACCAACAATATCAATAATTATATTAAATGTGAATGGTCTAAACATCCCAACCAAAAGACAGAAATTGTTATACAGGATAAAAAAAAAAAAAGCAAGATCCAACTACATGCTGTCTAAAAGTGACACACTTTAGATTCAAAGACATAAATAGGATGAAATTTAAAAGGTGGGACAAGATGGGTTGAGCATGATGGCTCACGTGTGTAATCCCAGCATTTGGGAGGCTGAGGCAGGAGGATTGGTTGAGGCCAGGAGTTCAAGAGCAGCCTGGGCAACACAGTGAGACCCTTTCTCTACAAAAAAAATAAATAAAATAAAAATATTAGCCAGGCATGCTGGCACATGCCTGAAGTCCTAGCTACTGGGGAGGCTGAGGCAGCAGGATTATTTGAGCCCAGGAGTTCAAAGTTACAGTTAGCTATGCTCGTGGCACCGTACTCCGTCCTGGGTGACAGAGCAAGACCCTGTCTCTTAAAAAAAGAAAAAAGAAAAAAGAAAGAAAAAAAAAGATGAGAAAAGATATGCCATGCAAGCAGTAATGATAAAAGATCAGGAATGGCTATATTAATAGCAGACAAAATAGAATTTAAGATAAAAATATTATACAACATAAGAGAGACATTTCATAATGATAAAGAGGTCAAAACCTCAGAAAAATATAACAATGATAAACATATACCCACTTAACAACAGAACCACAAAATACATGAAGCAAAACTTGACAAAGAAGAAAGGAGAAATAGATCATTTAATAATAATAGTTGGAGATGTCTATAGCCACCCAATAATTGATACAACTAGACAGAAAATTATCAAGGAGACAGAAGACTTGAACAACATGATCAACCAACTCAGTCACGCCGATTATGTACAACATTTAACCCAATGACTGTAAAATACACATTCTTTTCCAGTACATATGAACCATTTCCAAGGACAGATTGAGTGCTAAATCATAAAACAAATCTCAACACATTATAAATGATAGAAATCATACAAAGCATGGTCTCCAACCACAAATGAATTAAATTATAAATCAACAGCAGAAATCAGAGAAATCCTTAAATAAATCAAATGAGAAATAAGAAAATATTTGAAACTGAATGAAAATGAAAACACAACAAATTAAAATTTATGGGATTCAGCTAAAACAGTGCTTGGAGGGAAATTTATAACTTTAAAAACTTATATCAGTAAACAAAAAAGGTCTCCAATAACCTAAGCTTGCACGTTAAGAAATTAGGAAAAGAAGGCCAGGTGCGGTGGCCCACGCCTGTAATCCTAGCTTTCTGGGAGGCCGAGGCAGGCGGATTGTTTGAGCTCAGGAGTTCGAAACCAGCCTGAGCAAGAGCGAGACCCCGTCTCTACTAAAACTTAGAAAGAAATTAATTGGACAACTAAAAATATATAGAAAAAATTAGCCGGGCATGGTGGTGCATGCCTGTAGTCCCAGTTACTCGGGAGGCTAAGGCAGGAGGATCGCTTGAGCCCAGGAGTTTGAGGTTGCTGTGAGCTAGGCTGACGTCACGGCACTCACTCTAGCTCGGGCA